ATTTAAGAAGCTTGGGTCATTCGATCCTGCCATCGAAGACTGTGCCCAGTATGTGGAAATAATGTGTTACTTTTTCCGGGAAAATGATACTGGGGCAGATGAACATCAACAAGACAGCTTGTGCATTCACAGCTTTTTTGGTTATTAGGGGTGTAACTTTCCCTGAGGTACCAGATACTAAAACGTTTCAAGATTGGCAGATTTAGTTCAGGAATATTGTGACCCCAAGCCTTCTCTAACTCTGAGATACTATCAATTTAAATCAGCAATTCAAGAACCAGGGGAATCCATATCAGGATATTTGACTAGGTTAAGACAACTGACAGAGCCATGTGATTTTGATTTAACCTTTAATGAGATGCCGAGGGACTGTTTGGAATATGGGATTAATGATGTAACCATGCAAAAATGCCTGCTAGCTGAAGCTCAGCTGGGCTTCAAACAGGCGCTACAACTGGCTTTATCATTAGAAAATGCGGCAGGTAGAGAATATGAGTTACAGGGTATTCCGATGCAAGTGGATACCCTCGCCAGGCCGACTGAGCTTAGAGAGCGCCACTTGAGTGAGGGTAATTACATAGTCACACTCAGGATATATCCTGAACAGAGCGACTTGAGGTCAGCCCACATCAAAACCCCAAAACAGCCAGGCTTTGGCCAAAAGTTTAACATTTCCTTGAGGATCTGGGCTGGCAAGCCATTGTAGTTGCTGCTGGTATGTGGACTCAAGATAGCAAAAGAATCCAACTAGACTTAAATTGAGTAAGAGAACTCATGGCCCGGCATCCAGGACAGTGCACACCCTGGAAAATCCACCTACATCTGGTTTGGAACAGGTAAATTGCTTAGCATCATCCAAATCAGAACCAATCAAAATAACGTCTGGTTAATGGTCACCCAGTTCTAACAGAGGTCGATACTGGCGTGGCCACTTCAGTGATTACAGAACCAGTCTTTAACACAATTTACTCTGGACTCCAACCCTTAAGTTTGCATCAGATCTCGGCGAGACTGAAAACCTTTACTGGGGAACCTTTACAGATGAAGGGTACAGCTTTAGTTCCGGTCTCTTATGAGAAGTAGCTGGTTCAGTTACCACTGATTGTAGTAAAAGGTTCAGGCCCAAGCTTGGTGGGGTGAAATTGGTTGAGAAAGATTCACCTAGATTGTCTCAATATTTTTTTGATTAGCAAATGGCTGCCTGAGTGAAGTCCTAATTAAATACCTGGAAAATTTTCAGGAAGGTCTGGGCGTTATCAAAGCAGGCATAGCCACCTTTGACATAGTCCTTAGACATTTCTCTAAGGTGAGCATACACCTTAGAGGCGAAAAATGTGTGTTCCAGGCACCCCAAGTGACCTACCTGGGCTATAGAGTCAACAAGATTGGGTCACACCTGTTGGAGGGTAAAGTGAGGGCGATCAAAGGTGCCTCGGCTCCCATGTCTGTACCAGAGTTTAGGCCTTTTCCTGGCCTGGTGAATTATTACAGAAAGTTCACACATGATCTGGCCTCCATCCTGGCATCTTTGCATCAACTCTTAAAGGGTCAGCTTTGGAAATAGCTTTCAGGGAAGTGAAGAAACAGTTATCGCCCTCTAAGGTGTTGGCAATGTATGATCCCAAGCGAGGTCAGGTATTGACGTGCAATACCTCACTATACAGCATCGGAATAGTTTTAGCTCATAGGTGGCCCAATGGAGAGGAACGCCCAATAGCGAATGCATTCAGGACTTTGGCTAATGCAGAGCCAAAATATGCCCAGATAGAGAAGTAAGGTTTGGTGGTCATATTTGGAGTCAGAAAATTTCACCAATACCTTCATGAATGTAAATTTGTAATAACAACGGACGACAAACCCCTGCTGGGTCTATTTAAAGAGGGTAAGGCAGTGCTGCCCATAGCTTCAGGATGAATTCAGCAGTGAGCTCTAATACTAAGTGCATATAATTACAAGTTGGAACACTGTCTCGCTGGCACCTGCGATACTAACACTGGAAGAGTCCATAATGGTTTTAAATTTTCAGGAAACCCTTCCAGTCACAGCTGACAATATCAGATTCTGGACACAGAAAGATCTGGTCCTGGCCAAACTGAAACAGCTGGTGGTGATGGGGGAAACCAAAGGGCCATCACAACCAGAACTGGAACCTTTTTGGGCCCAGAGAGACCAGATCACAGCAGAGGGTGGTATATTATTATGGGGGGTAAGGGGGATTTTCCTGAGCAAAGGTCACTGCCAGATACTGGCTGAGTGCCACCAGGGTCAGCCAGGGGGTTTCCAAAATGACAATGTTGGTGAGAAGCTATGTCTGGTGGCCAGGATTGATGCAGACATAGACACAGTGGTGGGGCAGTGCCCAGAGTGCCAACAAGGAAAGAAATTACCACCAGCAATTCCCCCACATTCGTGGGAATGGCTGAGTAAACCCTGTACTTGGTTATATGGTGGCTCAATGATTGCACTGCTGTCTGGGTTTAATCCCACCCTTAGGCAACTGTATTTGTGGAGTTTGCATATTCTACTGGTTTCTTCCCACAGTCTAAAGATGTGCAAATTAGGTGGATTGGCCATGATAAATTACCCATAGTGTTCAGGGATGTATAGGTTAGGTGCATTGGCTATGGGAAATGCAGGGTTACAAGATAGGGTGGGACGATAGGTCTGGGTGGAATGCTGTTTGGAGGGTTGGTGTGGCCTTGTTAGGCCAAATGCCTGTTTCCACTGTAGGGATTCTAAATCTGCTCATCAACTATGCAGACCCTTTCACGGGCTCAATGATCTTAGTCATGTGGACACCCACTCAAAATGGCTGGATATGCATAGAGCTCATTCATCAAACACAGAGACGATGATAGAAAATCTACATGCATCTTTGTAGTACACAGACTCCCGGAAGTGTTGGCCACAGATAATGGGCCATTGTTTACCAGTATTTCCTAAACTTGAATGGTATTCAACAAATAAGGCCAGCTCCATGGCATCCAACATCCAATGTCTGGCAGAAAGAGCACTACAAACTTTGAAAGCAGGCTTAAAGAAACAGCGTACAGTTTCACTCGATTCCAAACTGTCCCGGTTCCTATTTGATTCTAGGACCACCCCTCATGCAACTACAGGGATAGCTCCAGCAAAGTTGATAATGGGGAGAAGATGTTCCATTAGGTTACATCTGATCTCTGTGCACCTGGGGAGGAGGGTGAAACGGCATCAGGAATGCCAATGCCAAACACAACACTCCACTCAGCAAGAGACACAGTTTACTTCAGAAGACTAAGTTTGGTGCAGGAACAATGGGAATGGCCCTGCGTGGGTAAGGGGCATGGTTGATGCAAGATCAGGTCACATTACATATAAAGTTTGGGTAGGTGCGATGGTCCTGAAGAAGAAAGTGGACCATATGAAAGCTGCAAACTCTCAAACAGCGTGAGAGCAAAATGTGCCTGGCTCCTTGACTGCCTTTCCAACTGTTCCAGAACCCATGGGTTCTCCCTCTTCGTGAAGATCCCTCGGAATCTGAGACAGACATGATGGATGTCTCCGCCTCGATGCCTTTGCCGCCTGAGGAAGAGAATGAATTTCTTCCCGAGACACTCTGGCTGCAAGATGTGAGCTACTGTGTGTTAATGCCGCCTGTATCAGAGGCAGAGTTAGAGGAAACTGACCCAGTGTTAAAATGCCTCAGGAGAAGCTACAAAAAATAGAACCGGCCTATGCCCTCGGACTCAGAGGGGGAGGGATGTAGTGGCTGTAATGAGGTCGGCTAGGTGGACCTCATAGAATGAGTTCCCTGATTGGGCTGTTACTTGGTCCAATCAGGGAACTCTGGCTGAGAGATAAGAACAGGAGTGTCAGGGATACTGTTCACTCTGAGAGCTGGCTCTGAGGAAGCTGGATCAGTGTCAAGGACTCTCCATGTGTAAATAAAGGGTGACTTGGTGATGGGATACCAGTGTCTTGTGGAGTTATTTCACACAGACACACAGACAGAGACACATGCCCACTTAGTCACTGACAGACATTGACACAGACATGTGAGAACACAGACACAGAGATACACACAGATTTATAGTGATTGGTTGTACTTGATTCTGTTGTTGCCAATCACACCCCCTTTAGATCTATCTTTGGTGTCTTTACCTGTTGCAGTCCCATCTCTTTTGGCCTTACAACATCGTGCCTTTATTCATTTAATCTTCCCCGCACTGCACCCTATCCCAGATCTTCCCTTTTGTTCTGTGCACCCCTCCTTACTTTCTCTGCCACTGTATTTGTTTAAAATCTGCTCCATCTCTCTAATTTTTTCTATTAAACTAAAGAGATAGGAGCAGAAGTAGGCCATTCAGCCCTTTGAGTCTGCTCTGCCATTCACTGAGATCATGGCTGATCTGATAACCCTCAACTCTATTTTCTTGTCTTTTCCCCATAACCTTGTGATTTCCTTTCTGGTTAAAAATCTGTTTATCTCAGCCTTGAATATATTTTGACAAAAAGTCCATCGCCCTGAAGTATTAACTCCGTTGCTTTAGCCACAGATGCTGCTTGAGTTGCAGCCCTTTCTGTTTGAATTTCAGATTTCTAGCATTGGTGGTATTCTGTGTTTGTGATGCTCCAGTGGGATGGGAAGCCCAGTACCTCATCCAGTTCCAGCATTTGGGATGTGCCCCTGATACAGTGGCAGGAGGCTAAGAGCTATTGGCACTTCTACACTCTGATGCACTGGGCTCATCCACAGCAGCAAGAGATCCAGTTCTATCCCTGAGAGGAATCTTGGGAAACCTGGAGCATTACAGGAGATGGATACTCAGTTACAGAGGCTCCAAGGTCTTGGTTCTGATTTTTAAACCACCTCTAGAACAGGAAATGCAGCTTTGTGAATACGTTCAAGATCAATTGGGTAATGAACCTTTGAGAAATGGGCTACTGATCATAATTGCAGACACATGGGACAAACACCAAGCCACTCTTAACCTTAAGACTTTGTCTTTATATTCACTTACATCAACTCCTCTTGGTCCACGCACTCCCATCATTCCAGAGTCTCCCAAAGGTCCCTTTGAAATGAAAATATTAAACAATTAAACCATTAAAGCAAAGGCTGTATGGTAGCTACAGGTAATCCCAGTAGTGAATCAATACAGGCAAACATAACATTGGGCCAGTACAGACAAAACTGGCAGTCAATCTGTACAGATGAACTCAGTGTGATGCAATACTGTTAAAAGCAGCAATAAGTCTGTGTGAAGGTGCCATCAGCTCACTCTTCTGTTAGATGGAGATGATGGGTGGTACTTCAGCCTGAGGGTCAGAGCACCTCAGACAAAGGGAGAGATTGAGAAGGAGACTTTTCTGCAGTAACACCAGCTAGTGTGGGAATTGAACCCACACACAGATGTTACTCTATGTTGTAAACCAGCCATCCAGTCAACTGAGCTAAACAACCCTGACTAAGTCAACCTGTGTAAACAAACACATGTAAAGCGAACTCTGAATCAGTCCAGGTAAACATGACTGTAATTAATCTTGGTAAACCAGGGAATAACTCAGAACAGGTAAACTGGACAGTACCTCAGAACAGTTAAACTGGACAGTGACCCAGTACAGGTAAACTGGACAGTGACTCAGAACAGGTAAACTGGACAGTGACCCAGTACAGGTAAACTGGACAGTGACTCA